GTGCATTTTGTTTGTTTTGTCAATCACATTGCAAGAATGTTATACATGCGAGTTTCGTTCAGGGCACAGAATGCTTTTGAGATTTTGCACGCATAAAATAACATTTTGCCCTCTCTGCATTCGCTCCTCTCCTGCGTTACTCGGGAAGAGTTGGGATTTAGGTTCCTGCCTCAGAATTGATTGACAAGAACAGTAACAAAACCCGAGATCGGTTCTCTTGTAAAAATATAAAGGACTGTGAATTGCAGCGTTGAGGATATCAGGGCTCTGTGGCTCCCTTTATGCACACTCAGCAGTTCCTTCTTCCTTGGAATACAACACTTTTTTTCTCTTATCCAGCACAATTTGTAGAGCTCTGAAAGAAAATAAATACTGTCATCGTTGGGAGCCTGCTGCTGAGGCCAAGCTGCAGACTTTAATCTTTGAGGAAGAACTCATTAGGGAGGAAATGTGCTTCGTGGTTTCCCTCAAGCAGTTTCTCAAGACCACTTTCCTAAAGGTGGGGATCTGTGCCAGGCTAAGCTCCAGGCTGCTGCCTCCCCAGTGCCAGCTGTGCCGTGGGCTGGCGCAGGGAGCCGACGGAGCTGGAAATGGTCCCTCGATCGCCTTCCCCGCAAGCACCCACACCTTAGACCACTCCAGCCACACTGCACAGGGAGTGCAAAACTGAGGGAGATTCACAGGGATAGTCCTCAAAGCAGAAATATGACGCTTGGTTTTTCGTCAGGAAGGAAGGATGACGGCTAGAGAAAGGCGGTGTCCTATTTAAGGAGATGCTCTGGTTGCAGGCAGATGTGGAGCTGGGTTTAGGCAAGACCCACCTCTGCCTCTCAGCACAAGGAATGGAGAGGACGTTCTTATGCTGTGCCTGCAGTTCGATTTGTCTTACTTCCCGGTGCTCTTAAATTTTTAGATCAGCTTAATTTTTAACTCCAGTGCTCCTAGTTCAAACGATTATTCTCTGAATGGAAAAAATTAAAACCAAATCAAGGAAAGGGAAAGTGTGATTTCTTCTGATTCTGGCAAGTAGAGAAATGATTCTAAATCTTCCTTGCGTGAAAATATTGGTTGATTTTAATTTTCTTCTTACTCTGTTGTTATCTCAACTGCCATCTGGAAGCTTCTTTGATTTTTGTTTATCTAGATGAGCTGTAAAAAAAACTTGTCCTCTCATCCTTTCCTTTACAGACCACAGCATCTTTTCCCTCAGGTGGTTAGGGTTCTTAGGATCTTGGTGCTGATTTTGCTTTATAGTCATTAAAAACAACTCTTGTTATTTCTCTATACCATGTCTTCTGTGGAGACATTATGTTGTAACCAAGGGACACATTTGACCGGTATTCTTGAAACTGGGCTGGGGATCCCTTCAATTAGAATCTCAGCACAGCTTTGCAACAGTCTGCAGATTCTGAGAAGGACCTGGTTCTTCCCAGAAACATGGTCATTTAATCACAAGCTTTATCTTTAGTTTCTAGAGTATTGCAGATATTTACTACTTTGGGTAAACACCCTGTATTAAGCTGGTCAGCTTCTTGGAGTAAATATTTTTAAGTATCTACTTAGCCCCTTATGTCCCGGAAGGCACCGTGGATGGGAGATGTCTTCCTTAGTTGAGGTCCTTAGCGCCTACAGAATAACCCAATATCTGGCTGGACCTTCACAAGAGAAGTGAAATTGCTTCCTTTTTTTTTTTTTTTGCAACTGTTTAGTCTGCCATTTAATCCGCCAAGGCATATCCAAGTTTAAATTGATTAAAGTGTTCTCATTTCCTGTTCTGAACATGTTGTGTAAGAGCCTTCTTTAGCTTTTTTAAATATTTGCTCTGTTTCACTCCAGAATTGGTGGGTGAAGTAATTACCACATCAAATCCGTGGGTAGGATGCCTTGAAACCTGCCAGATCCTGTGCACTGTTGGGGCATGATTAGACCCTGCCACGTACGGTTTCTAGGTCATAGGCAATATTTACAAGGGGATGGAGCAAGAGAGATCTTCACCAGCTGGTACCAAGAGGGGGCTGGCATAGTAATTGTCATGTTTTAGTCATAAGACTTACTTTGGAACATAAATATGCTAATAGATGCTGTTCGTACCATTGCCTTCAGTAAACTTTTCCGAATCTTCAGTATTAACGTGCACTGGGTTTGTTTTTTTCAATCCCGGCATTCAGTTTGTAAATGCTCTGAAAGCAAGCGATGAAAAAATGTCAGAGGCTTGGAGATCTTTCCACGTTTTTGGTCAGTTTGGTGTCGTCGTCATCTAAACATAGGCAGGCTGGGCTGGAAGAGATCTCTTGGGTCACAGCTCCCTTGTTTTTGCCTTTCACGGGCACTGTCGTATTACCCTTTTTATAAGCTTTTATAAGCTCCGTCTTGGTACTTGGTTTTTGTCCTCATTTGGGAAACTGTTCCCAAATCTTGTAATTCTGAAACTTTTGGTCAGTTTGGTGTCGTCGTCATCTAAACATAGGCAGGCTGGGCTGGAAGAGATCTCTTGGGTCACAGCTCCCTTGTTTTTGCCTTTCACGGGCACTGTCGTATTACCCTTTTTATAAGCTTTTATAAGCTCCGTCTTGGTACTTGGTTTTTGTCCTCATTTGGGAAACTGTTCCCAAATCTTGCAATTCTGAAATGCTCTTCTGAGCTTGTTTAAATTCTCCTTCCTAATCCTGTCCTGTTCAGGACAGAAAACTATGCTCTGGGGAGCTAAGCTTAAAGGCAAGAACAAAAACTGGACTCCGTAGGTTCAACAGACAGTGTTGCTTGTGTCTCCTGGAGGTATGTTATTCCTTCTTAAAATTCTCCGCTTTCAGAAGCAAACTGCACAAAGATGATATCAGAAGCTGTGTGCTTGAATTAGCTAATAAATAATGCTTCCTGGCACCAGCAGCAAGAGAACGCCATCATCGTCATTATTCCAAGTGTGAGACTGTGTTTAGTACCAAATGCTATTTGGTTGGCCTCATGTAAATCAGAGCTGTCTCGATGTTACAAGACAAACGTGCATTCACGCTGCAGATTTGGATAATTTGCTCCACCAACTCAAAAGCCAGCTCTTTCAGGAGTGAATTTTAGTGATTTACGACCCCATCTCATATTTCCAAAAGGCATTTCTTTACCCTCCCCCCCCCCCCCCCCCCCATCACTTTGTCTTGTTTAGGTAATACATAAATCTATCGGAAAAGAGCGTCATCTATAACCTCTGAGGCCCCTTAGTGACAAGCCTCATTGTCAAAGGCAGGCATTTTGCCAGGAAACTGTGACTCCCAGAGAGAGTGTGCAAGGTTAGAGGCAAAGTATACTATTGCCAGAGAAACTGTATTCCAAGTGGATTTGTGTGGAACAACAACGATATCCAGTGACTGGTTAAATTAGCCACAGATGTGTTTTCTAGAACACTGTCCAAGAAGATATACAGTACTTTAAGGCTTGGTTCAGACATAACGATCTGAAGGCAAATCAGATCCAAGCAAAATTGCATCGGTGCTAGGGAAGCTTTAAAGGAATTGTGTAATATGATTCAGACAAGTAGATGAATCAGACTGCTGCGAACTAAACACGGAGCACATCGGTGAGAGATGAGGTAAGAGGACTTGCGTGGAAGTGGGGTGGTTTGGTGTTAGCAGTTTGCTGTTCAAATTAGAGCCGCGGCGGGTTGCCACGGGAGGTTAAACGGGCACGTTGTGCCGGCCACCTGCCCAGAACGTGCGTGGGGAGGAGAAGCTCCGGGGGGTTCTTTCAGCCCTTCAGAACAGAGGGGTGCTTGGTTTTGCACTTGCTGACTCTATTGCTGTATGGCTGTCCCTGCGCCACTCCTCCTACCCGGCAGTGCTGCCGAATGCGGTTTTTAAGGGGTCGCTGCTCTGCTGAGGGCAATGCACCTATTAAATATTTGGAGAATTTTCACATACTGAAGTCAGAGTACAGGTGAAAGCTGGGGGACTTTTCTCACACGGGAGAACTTTGTCTCGGCATCACAGCTCGAGCAGGCTGTGGGATTTCTGTCCGGGATCGGTGTTAAGAGGCTCAGCTTCCATCCCACAGCTGAGTTCGGACTCTCGTTCCTAAAGTTCAGATGAGACAGGCGGTGGAGAGGAGCCCTGTTGAATTACAGATCTGCTACGTGGTTTAAAGTTCTTTGGAAACACAAGCAGCTTAGTTACTGTTGGAACGGGAAGCAAGAACAGCTTTCGTTGTGTTCTCTGACCTATTTCTTTACCATGTTATTTACTCAAACTAAGTTGAATATGGTGTATTAAAATGCTGTCATCAAAAAGAGCCTGGAAGTATTCAGCTTAGATTCTCATTGCAGTAAGCATTAATAGTAAAAGTGGAATTTAAAAAATAGCAGCTTTGTCAAGGAGTTGCAGAGGACTTATGAATAAAAAGAAAGATTTTCACAATAAAAATAGCATATTCTTGTTTATGAAAATTTATCTCATTGTTTTTCAGAGCTTTATTAAATGTTTTTAGCACTGTTGGTGTAAATGTGGAAGTGTATCTGTTTAGGTTTGCTTTGTATTTCCAGGTACCCCAAAGAGGGCTCAAATGCTGTGAGTTTATTCACAGAAGTGTTATTTTCTTTTCCTTTCCATGTTACCTCTTCATAATAATCTGATTTAATCAAGCAAATTGTATGGCTTCCCATCCTCTGCTTCCAGTTTCCTCTCACTTGAGCTCTGAATTCTGCTTCGGGAGATTTTGCACTTCTATTCTTAGGAATTTTTGCAGGTCACATGCAAAGCCGTGTGTGTGTGTGTGCATGCATGCGTGTATGTCTTTAGACAGCGCACCAATAATTAGAATAACCCTGCAAAGTCATGGCTTTGCTTCAGGAGAACTCATGGCAAAAAATGAAACATGCCTCCACTTTCAGGTATATTTTCTGATTTTTTGACCAAAGAGAGACAGTCATCCTGACAGCTGGCAAAATGTGTTCGTTCTAAAAGGTGATTATTTTGAAAATGCTCATAACTATGGCTTTATTTCTGCTCTCTTTGCAGGGTCTTTGTAAACAGAAGTTTAGCCATGGAAAAGATAAAGTGCTTTGGTTTTGATATGGATTATACACTTGCTGGTGAGTATCTTCTTCATTCCTTTTGCCATTGACTTAGTAGTTTGAAATATTGCTGCTTGTTGAGCAAAAACCAGTTAGTGGTTGAGCTACTCCAATTAGCAGGTGCTTCTTCTGTTAGCAGATGTATTATTCATTATTCATTGCACTTTTCATTTTAGGTGTTTCCCTTAAATTTGTTATCTGCAAGCTGTATTTGGTCACAAGCCATGTTGCTGTAGCACAGTTTCAAGTGATTATCGGTGTCAAGGAAACCAAAGCTTAAGTAGTGTAATTGCTTCCTCCGATTCCACTACATTTTTGGTATTGCCCTGGTGCAAGCTTGGCTTTGAGCAACGAGGTGATTTCTTTTCTCCTTGGTGCACACGGCAGGCTACACCTTTAGCCAGGAGGTTCTCCTGTGCCCTGGGAGGGTCATTTTTGAATGGGCTTTCCTCTTTCGGTTTCCAACACTCCTCGGTTGACCTCATCAATGACTCATTTTGAGAAGAGGCAAGGCAGGGGGAGTGTCTTGTGGCTGCTGAACAAGTTAATTTAGAAAGCTTTGCCCATCCTTTATGGCTTTGGGAGGTTGCATAAGACCTTTTAGTTTAATAACATTTTTTGCATGACTTGTCCATCTTTCAAATACTCATCAGGCAAGTACTCTGAGATTTTTTATGAAGGGGGGTGAAGTTACTGTTTTCTGCATAACCAGACATGCATGGTTTTATGTATTTTAAGGAAGTAAGAGATGAAAAGCCCACTTCCACTTTCCTAGGCTGTATAGTATCACACAGGCTGGAACTGAGGATATGTACAATCCTGCCTTCTTTCTCATTACCATTCCAAGGCTGTGGATAAAAAGTTCCTATCACCCTTGATGTTTCAATTTAGAATTGTAAATATAAACTGAGAAAATGTGAGGTAGGGTGTCAGGGTCACCTAATAATAGGTTAATGCAGTATGTCAGCTATGGTCATCTAGTTACTGTGTCTACTGAGAAGGAATGAGAGATGAGTAATGCGGATGGGGACAGTGTGAGGGTCACAGGAGCCGAAGTCAGTGGCTGAGCAAAGGGTACAAAGGTTTTCATGTGCTTGTGGTTCAACGCAATGCTGCAAGGAGCGGTTTCGGAGGCTGTGGCAGGTAATTGCAGTTTGTATTTAGATGACTTGCTTTTGTTCTTTTAAGCAGTTATCCATGAGACTCTAGTTGTATATAAAAGGTTTGGTTATTCAAGACTGACCTTACACATCTGTTTAAAGTTCCTGCCACTTTGTAAGTCATGAAGTGTATCGTTAATCTGGGCTGGGTCTGACTGCGGGCACGTGCCTGTGTGAGTGTGTGTTTCCCAGCTGTGACAGCCCTGTGGCAGTGCCCTTAAGGAGCGTGTAACAGTTGTTCAAGAACAAACATCTAAGAAAAGAAAAAAAAAGTTGTGGGTTTCACTTCCGTAACGGAAAAACAACTTCTGTGCCTTACGCAAACCGGTGGCATTTCCCAAGGACTCGGGTTATCCCAGTAGGGCTGGCATGGAGCGTGAAGCATGTTGCTAACTTTCATCCTGACAGAAGGAGAGCTTCAGCACTACCCTCACTTCTCCGACTGTTCATTTTACTCAAGTGCTGCCTGTTCCTGTAAACACAGAACGAATGTGTTGGTATCCACAAAACGATGCTTGGTTTGATGAGAGGAAAAAATGTGTATGATTCAGGCATCCTAAAACAGTACCCAGGGTCATGGAAACCTGGGGATTCCCAGGCTGGAAGATCACAGTGCTACAGTTAAGCAGGCAAAGTCAGCGTACTGAAGGGAGTTGAGTGACAGGGTATGGTGCAGAAAAGAAACGGGATGTGGTCCAAGCACAAAACTGGAAACCTCGACCGCTCTGGGGTAAGCTGCTGTCCTATGGCTTCTTCCACGGTACAACAGAGATAATAGTTGCAGATCATTTTACAGGGAGTTGTGAGAATGCAATTAGTTTGGAAAGCCTTTTGCAGATGAAAAGCATTATGTCTGGTAAGTACTGGTTTTGCCTTTTTTTCACTCAGTTGGGAAGTTAACATACAAAATAACCCGTTTGTCTTCTTTGTCTTCTTATGTCTCGGAGTCATCCTTTCTTCTCCATGTGGGATTTTGTTATCTGACCTTTATTTGCTATATATATATAACTGTCACACACAAGAAAAATTAGTTACTCATTGCAGGGGCTTTAAAGAAAGTGGTGTTAGAGTATGATGATTATTGTAATTAATTAATTGGAAATTATCATGGAGAAGTGAGGCAAGTGAAGTTATGTTACATTAGTATGTTGCAGTGCATTCATTAGAACCCATTGTGGTTCCGTCTGGGCACATTATCCCTTACACACTCCATCACACAGACTTGATAGTTGTCTAGATTAAAAAAGAAAAAAAAAAAGGTATCCAGTGTAAAAGGCTAGTTTATTCGTAATTTAACATCTGGAAATGGTATCTGCATACCAGATGGTGCATGCTGAACAGAAGCCCTTTGGAGACCAGTAAAGACGTGTAAATAGAACAACGAAGAAGAATGGAAACATCTCCAATATCATCAGCTCCTCGTCTAATTTTCTGCATTTGTACTTTCAGATATTGCTAGGTCACTTTTCTGTAACATTGTTCAAAAATAACCCAAGCGCAATCTTCATATTCAATGATTAAAGGCAGTCAGAGCCATTGACCCTGCTAAAAACTATATGCCATGTCCTTTTCCTACTCTGTCTTGAACTTTCACATCAGAAATAAACTGATGACATCCATCCCATGGCTGACAGTCATACACTTTGACATCTCAGAAGAAGAAAGATTGTTTTGTAACAACTTGAATTACCTATCTTTTGAAGAGGAGGCTGTGGTATTAGTGAAAGAAAACACGTTGTTACTCTTCTCTTTTCTTCTTCCCAAAACAGTGACCACGGGTAGCACCAGAGTCTTGCTTAGGAGGTGGTTCAGGACCAGAGATATCAGAATCACTTGGCTTATTTTGAACTTCAGAAGCTTGGGACAGTTCTGTTCTGGTACTTTATGAGTTTAAGGACATAAACCTAGTTACAATAACACTGTGTGCTGTCTAGAATAATCTAATTTTGGTAGGGATGTGGCGTTCCCATTTTGGAGTATATTGTAACAGCTACTACAAACATGCTGCAGTGATCCTATGTTCTACTACTAGCATGACTGAGAAGGTCAGCTGGCCAACCGACAGCAGTATTAGTATCATCATGTTACATTGCACATAAAATACGATTTCATGCATTGTTTTATACGGTAGTATTTCTTAGCCTTATTAAATTAAAGGATCGCTTAACTCAGAATTGAAAAAAAATCAAGGCTGGCTGGTATAGCATTGCCACGGTGACTTTGTTTGCTTTCAAGTCAAAATCGGGTTAAAATTTGAATTCTTGTTAATAACGTCTATGTTCTCTCATTGTATTCATCTCTTTCCTTGCACAGGGTTGAGAAATACTGTTAACGAGTGGGTTGGGCAAACAAAGGCTTTTTGACTTGAATAAAAGCCTGAAGATTTTAGCCTTCTCTTCTGACAAATTATGGACATTAAGTTGCTGAAATTTTAGCCACTGTGGTTACAGCTAGAATTAATTTGACTGCTTTGAGCTCAAAATAAAATGAAAGCAAGTTGAAGTAATGCACAGGTTTTAAGATTCCCCGTTTTCCCATCAAGGGTTGCTGTTGCATCCTCATGGGGTGACTAAGATCTACATGTATGGAAACTCCCAAGTTTCCCTAGGTCTGTGTGCTGGAGATGATGATACTGGAGGTCTGTTCCTGACCTTGATGCCTGCCAGCCGGGGAACGAGGCCCGTGCCGATTCTCTGGGAATCTCCCGCTCCTTGGAAAGCAACAGTGTTACACCAGGATCTGCGGATACCTGTGACTGGCTACATTTGCTGTCAGGGCAGAACTGAGTATTTTTAAAAATTCCTATTTAAACCCTTAAGTTAGATTTGAGGGTCGTTTTGTGGTGTATTTTTGTTTCTTAAATAGTAGTTTCTTTTATTATCTGAATGATTCATCTCTGCTTGTTCATCCTGACTGGCTAGAAGACCAGTAGTCAGTATCAATTCTGGTCTGCTTTCCTGTTTTACTAGTACTGTCAGAACTGCCCATGCTTTGGTGAAGGAAAATAATGCATGTAATACGAGAGATTTACAGCCTTCTCTGTTTTGTGTTTACTGCAAATTGCAGGAAGAAAGATAAAGGTGTGTCAATAGAGTCTTCAGTGCAACGCTCACCTGAGGAGGTGGTGAGGCCCCTTGGAAAAGCAGCAGAGATTGGTTTCACACAACATTTTATTTGGCTGCTTCCTTCTCAGTGTGAGCTACACTTGTAATTAGTAGGTCTGGATCCAATTAACGCAGGAGGCCTTGGCATTGCTAGGTCTGAAATGGGACAGGTTACACAATGAAGTGATGGATAGACATCCCTTGACAGGAGCGGGGCTAAAGCAGTGGGGTTCTGGAACTGGCTGTAATCTCACACCAGGCCATTGGCAGATGGAGGGGGAATTAGTGAGAATTACAAACTCAATTGTGCTTGAAAAGATTCCTCTGTGACGACCATCCTTCTCCAGAAGTTACGGCCTTGTTGAAAGTTTTATTTTCTGTCGCTGAGGTAGATAAGGTGTAATATCAGTAGGCAGGATGCTTTCATTTGGAATGCTTTTCCTGTACTTAAATCACTGCTGCTTCCATGTTCTCCAGAAATCAATAATAAAATCATCATTGGCTGCTGAAAACTGTTTCCATTAAAAAGATGGGGAAATGAGGCTTGAAAAATACAGGGTTTATTATGTGCAAATATGATTAATACCACGTAATCTGATTGGAATTCAGCTTGTGTCCTGGAAACGTTGCCAACTTAATGCCAAGATTTGGTGTGCTGCAAAGATTTTATTGCAAAATTGCTTATGCTTTCAGCTGTAGCATTTCCCTTCTCATCACGTGGGAAAGACTGCTTTAGTCTTTCCCAGCTTACTCC